CTTCCCCCAATTGTTGTTTCTCAAATCTATATTCTGGTTTCTGATTTCTTCCCAATTATTTGTCTGTTGAATTTTTCTTTTTTTAACTATTGAAATGTTCAATTTTGAGCCAAATAATTTTGCCTGAACCAGAAAAGTGGATACAGGAACTTAAATTTTTTTGTTAGCTGGTGAAATTTTGATCTTTTGCCATCGCACTAAAGAAAGGCCTTTAATCAATGGAATTGAAAATTTTTAGTCTTAGTACAGTCTTGATTCAAAGGGACGTATCGAATGAGGGGTAACTATCCCTACTGGTACATGCCAAAATGAAAATGCTTAAAGAATTGCCTAATATTTAAGCAAAATCTTGCTTTTCTCTTGCAAAAAATTTTACTTTATTTCTAGGATTGCCCCCATTTCACAAAAATCTTGGACTGTCTTTCTCATAATGTAGGTTATTGTTTAGTGAATTTATGCTTTTGTATCATGTCTCATATTATGGCTTTTACGATGCACATTTTCATTTTCTGGCATTCATTTAGTTGGTTGTTCTGTTATTTGAGTAGGTCTGGTTCTTAGATCAATTTAGAGTCCTTCGTGATGGCAAACAACCTTATCCTGATGCAATTTCAACATGTATGTTCCCATCTGTGAGTTTTACCATTTTGGTAAGCCTTTCAGCAGAGAGAAGTGTTTGCTTTTTTTGGATGGTGATATGCTAATGATTTTTATTCTTAAGAGAAATCCCTTTTTCTTTGCTTGAAAGTAGAAAAATTGGCAACCAATGGTGCCAAGATGGTGATTATAAGTAATTACTCAAGACGTGCATCAACGACAATGAACAAAGTGAAGAGCCTTGGATTAGATCCCTCTGTCTTTGAAGGAGTCATCACCAGTGGAGAGTTAATGCATCAATACTTCCAAAGGTTTGCTAATTTTCCTGTTATGGTTATGTGCTGTGGAAATGTCACCTTCTCCATTTGTTATTGGTGCTGGATAGTCTTTTCATGATGAACTTGTTAGGCTATTTCATTATTTCTGTCACTGGTCATGAAAAATAAGTGTTATTTCGATAGGCATTATATAATTAGACCCAATTTTTTGGTTAGCAAATTGTGTATATTCAGTTGTTGATCTAAGACTACTCAGTGTAATCTTCATATTTTAGAAAGAGCCATTTATTAATTCAATTATGTTCCTAAAAGAAAAAAGAAAGAAAGAAAAATCATTGATTTATTCAAAATAGGTTTTTGTAGCCCTAAGAGGTAAGAATTGAAACAATTTATTCTTTTTCATTCTCACCATTTATTTTTCTTATTTATGAAACATCCTGTTGTAAATATGATTTTGCATGTTGCCTTTCTTTGAACTTTTGTAACTATACATCACAAGAAGTTTTTCCTGGTTTCTATTTGTAGGAGAGATGATCCTTGGTTTGCAGCACTAGGAATAGGAAGGTCTTGCATTCATATAACCTGGAGTGACAGGGGTCCTATCTCTCTCGAGGTATGCTACTGTTAGATTGTTTTATGATCATTTCTTTATAATTTTATGTAAGATAGAGTTTTCAAAACGTTTAATACCCTGTGTCTCAACTCCCCTTTTTCTTCTTTAATGGATATTAGCAATCTAGTAATGAAAAGACTAAGGGTTGCTGCTAACAAGGAGATGAATGTGAGGGAATTAACTTAGCCTTTTATAATTCTGAGACCGGAAATTACTGGACATAAGATGCAAAATGATTCTTTCTCTGGAAGAAGATGCTTGTAGTGAGGTTATTAGGAATTTAGGATGCTCACACTCATGCTTCTTGAATTTGTAATTTTTTGTTTAAATTCAAACAATCTGCCAGCGTGTCACACTACTACCATGTGATGTAGATATGGATTAGGTGGGCAACAATACGTTGGCATACTAATTCCTGAAAATAAAGGATATAACACAGCATGTGTACACTAATGCAATGCAGACATATATACAGGCATAACATTCTCATATTCATCTTGTTTAGCTGTGAAGTGCGAACCATTTATTGAGTATGAAGTCCAATACTATAAACTAATACAATTTGGATAAGATGGCCATTAGAAGTAACTTTACATTCTATCTCTTCCCTTGTTCACTGCCTTATTGAAATCCAACAAAAATGTAGTGGTTGGATTGGGCATAAGCAAATGCTTTAGTTTTTGCACTAGCAGTGCTTTACCTTCTCTATTACTTCTGGATTGCATGCAAAGTTCACAACTTGAACATTTTGATGGGAGCTGTGATACTTATAGTTAACATGATAAAACCTCTTTTAATAGGGTTTAAGCTTAAAAGTTGTGGAGAATGTTGAAGAAGCTGAGTTTGTTTTGGTCCATGGAACCAAAGCCTTGGGGCTTCCCTCTGGTAACATCTCCAGTGAGTCTTGAGGATCTTGAGAAAATGTTGGAGCAATGCGCTTCTAAAAGGATTCCCATGATTGTAGCTAATCTGGACTTTGTGACCGTTGAGGCTAGAGCTTTACTTATCATGCCTGGTAAAGATGTCTGATTTAACTTGTTTGATTCTTCTTAAGTAGAATGTGGCAATGCCATTTATAGAAGGAAACACACCATCTAGGCTGGCAACTTTGAACGATAAGTCTCCTAAGCATTTTCTGTGGTGGCACTGCAGGAGTTTATTTTCTGTTCATGCGTCAAAGTACCTTTTTGTGGGGTCTACTTTTCTTTGTGAGAATCAGTCTTCAATTATAGCTATCCCCTTTATGGCTTCTTGGTTTAATGGTTTAATGCTAGTATCTATGTTTTAGGTACATTGGCTGCTAAATATGAAAAGCTTGGTGGTGAAGTGAAATGGATGGGGAAGCCTGATCAGGTAGTATGATCTGTTTCTTATTTCCCTTGCAATATATTCCTTCCCTTCTAACTTTGCAGTTTATCTTTACATCTCATGTTTGGGGTTGAAGTGAAATGGATTCCAAAGATTATATTTACTCCTTTTTGAACTTTCATCAGATAATATACAAATCAGCTATGGTGATGGTTGGCGTGGATGCTTCTGATTCTATAGCTGTGGGTGATTCCCTTCATTATGATATTAAGGGTGCGAATGAGGCCAGAATCGCTTAGGCATTTATCACTGGAGAGATCTATGCAACTGAGCTTGGACTCAGAAGTATTGGGCAAGTTGCAGATACGAGCCCATGCATCATAGCCAAATATGATGCACATCCAACATATGTGTTGCCAGCATTTGCATGGTAGAATCGCACCACAGTATTTGTTCTTCTTTATTCTGTTTTCTTACATTATTATTATGCCTGAAGACAAAGTTTTACATCATGCACAAATGGAAATGTTGGAAGGGAAATTATCCTTACAAAAGAAATGGCTCTTCAAGTAAAAGAGACACTGCTGGTTTCAATGTTTACCTTGTGAATATTTAGGTCAAAGTTCAAGATCTTTGATATACTTATTCCTGAATCTGTGAACAGTAAACTCGTCTGGATAAAATGGTTGGGGTTACTTGCTTGGTGTTCATAACATGAGTTTATATTTTCCGGGTTCCAGGTTTCACTGTCTCTTAAATGTTGTTTTTATCTCTTATATTTTACTTTAATATGCCGAACAGGGTCAAGCGTCAAGATCGTGTTCAAATGGTGCTCTTTTGCTATGGTTGCTGAATCTTTATTTCTTTGGTTAAGAAATCCCATGTCACAGTTGTAAGTTCTTCAGATTGGATCTTGCTGCTTCAAGGTAGTAGAACAAAAGTGCGGATTTAGTTGTGGACCATTGAAAAATTGAATGCATTTGACTCTTTGGCTTGTGATTCTTTGCACACTCATTGTGACATCATGATTTAAATTCTATGCTTCGCCACCTTCTCAAAGATACATATATCTGAGTATGAAAATATTTACATGTATATCTGAGATCAAATAGTTTTCTGGTATTGACTGCCAAAAAAAAAAAATCTCCTTCCAGGTTGGTATGAAGATGGTATGACATGGAAGGAATGGTTTTATTTTGCACTCAATCCATAGATTTCACTGCTTGAATTTCCATTAAAGAAACTTCAGGGTACACAAAATGAAGGCGGTGAAGACATACCCAGTTAACAGTAGAAATATCATCAGAAGCTAGATGTGCTATATCATGAGCTAAAGGCTTGGCTAGCATGAACCACAATAAATCCATTGAATTGTTCTAGTGAGCGTTTACTTATTCGATGCACGATGCCATTTTTCCATTTTATCAGGTCCCAAATGTGCGTGCACCTCTTTCCATCTCAGATGTTGAACCTTTTGGCAAATGATGGGACATCTAGAAAACGATGAGTCTCATCAGTATTTATGTCCCAAATCATGATTGGTTGATGGAATAGAAAAGAGGCCGCATGAAGGCTAAATTTCTTTCAGTTATTGTTCACACGAGACCCATATCCTGATTAACAGTCATTTTAACCAATGCAACAAAGGAATATCTGTCTTGAATTTGCACTTTCCATTTTTTCTTCCTTTATTTTTTTCACTTGCTTCATCCGGTTGTCATATGGCTGAGATCCATCTGATAGTTCCCGAAGAAGAAAGACAATAACATGTTGAGCTAGTTTGCACCAAGAAAATAGTGGTGGGGGCTACTAAGAAAGAGCCATTAAGTGTTTCCATCGAAAATCAAAACTACTTTTGTGGAGATCAAGTCCCTTTGTGCAGTCATCTTCGCCTTTGATTTTCCTCATTTTATCTCCAGAAAAGATAACAAGTCTTATGATTGGCTGGACATACTTTGCAAGAAGAAATGTCCCTAATAACGGGCTCTCAAACCGCATAATACTTTGAAAGTTCTATTGATGACTTAAAACTTAATGTAAATTTATGATGATTGGTTGTACGGTCTATTTGTACTGTTTGTCTATATTTGATGGTGGTGGTTATTGTTACACATTTTTATTAAGGCTACACAATTTTATATATATATTTTAAATAATTATTATAATGTTTAAAAATATTTATTTGTAAATTGATTTTAATATGTTAAATAATAAATATTAATTCTTGTATCAACTTTTATAGTTTTTTGGTAAAAAAAAATTAATGTATCAACTCTTAGTTGTTTCTAATAGCCAAATTGATAAAATATCAATTAAAATTTTGTGGCATTAACAAAAAGTACAATTAAAATTGCTTGAATTTAAAAATTTAAACAAGAGAAATGAAAAAAAAAATTCACATAGTTGTCGTTTGTCACTTTGTCATACCTTTCAAAGAGAAGCTGATGCATTATGACTCTGATAGACATCATACAAACAGGGGAACTCTACAATTAGATATAGGACTTCTTTCTTAAGTTGTTGGGGCATTTTATTAGGGCTTTAATCTTTAAAAAAAACAAGTTTAAGGACTAAAAGCGGCAAAAGGATAAGTTGGGGCCTAAAACTTGGGTTATCCTCTCTCGGGATTTAGCGTTTATTTGTTTGCGTATTTTATTTATTCACAAGAATGGTTCTTTTTTTTTTTATCTGTACAAAAGTAAGGACAATTTTTAATGAAAATATTTAAATATTTTCACAATATATTCAAATTAAAAAAGATATTTTATAGTGTTTTAAAACTCCACATGACCTCTTCAATTGAACTAGTTCAACCGAACTCCCACTTGAAAACAAATTATTTTGTTTATTTATTCATATAAGAATATTACACAATTTAAATAACATAATTTAATATTTTTATCTTAAATTACAGAATAAAAAATTAATTATCTTATATTTCTTAACTATCCTCATTCACAATTTAAACTATTATATGAGAACTAATACTAATAAAAGTTTAATCAAGTTGATACTTATTAATTAAAATATTTTAATTTAAGATTAAGACCAATAATTCAAATATTTACCATGCCATATTGAGAAATATCTTTTTATTTAATAATTACTCTTATTTTATAAGATAACATAGTGTTAACTACAAAACATAAAACTCTTTCATTGATTTATTTGATTTTTTTATTTACAATCAATTGTTTTTGGATTAATTTTAGATACTTCAAAACTAATCTTTTTTAATGACTCAATCCTCATATTGGCTTGTATATTTAAAAAGATTAATTTTTTTAGTGCTAACTCTAATATTTAAATTTAAACTTTACTTAAAAAATAATACTTGTTATTAATAAACCTAACCTTAAGGTTAACACTAGTATTTTGGTTGATACAAAAAATCGAAAATAATGGATTAAAAAAGAAGAAGCTAAACACCCTATTTTTTATGCTTAAAATATCATTATTTTTTATTATTAACACCTTTAAAATTTAAAACTCAAAAAAAAAAAATCTAAAATATACAATTAAATCTCTTATTCACATCTTAGCTTGGAGATGACTAAATTGTTAATTTATATTTTTTATCAATTTCGAATGATGAAAGATATTTTATTGAAAATAATATTTTTTTAAAATATTGATAATAAAAAAAATAATAATGGTACAGAGTCAAAATACATGGGATAGACTTAAAACAAAGGAAAAAATTAATATTTATCAAAAAAAAAAAGGAAAAAATTAAGAGAAAGGGAAAGAAAGAAATTAGAAAAGGACCAAATACGACGGCACAATTCCCCCGGAAAAAAAATAAGATCAAAATAAATAGAAGTAACAGAAGATGACGCAAAGGGGGCAAAAATGAATGTTCGCGAAAAGCTCTCGTTGTTTGAGCACCGGCAATCTTCGAACTCCACTTCCTCACCGCAGGAATTGGATCTTTTGGCTCGCAGTACCAAAAAGATCAAACCTTCAGATCTTCCACCAGATTCCACTATGGGTGAGGCTCCAGTAGGTGACTCTTCATCTACGTTGGTGGCTTCCTCGGATGCTCAGATGACGGACCCTGTTCCGTCATCGACAAGCTCTGTTCCTGCCCAAAAAGGGCTCAGTAATCCTCCTACTTTGTCATACCGGGATAAGCTCCTTTTCGAAGAGAATCCTACAATAGTCTCCTTTGCTACCACTCCCAGCTACATGGATGAAGATTCTGACGTGGATGAAGATCCAGATGATCCTACACCCATTGTCTTGCTTTCTAAGGCTGAAAAGAAGCGCATAAGAGAACCTTGGATGAATTCCCTTATCATTAAGGCTTTTCATCCAAAACCCTTGGGATATAATTATATATATCCCCGTATTCAAGCT